TTCTGTTAGGATAAGCAGCAGTTTTACTCGACTTCTGAAGTGAATATTGAAGTGAAGATTTGGTCTTAAAATGGGAGCAGTTGAGAACTACCTTTATCTTTTTAACAAAAATCCTAGTAAATATTTTCATCTTATAACAGTGCCTACAGATACTGCAAGTTTGCTGAGGAAACTAGACTGTTCAGTAAAACTTCACAAATCCTTCCCAAAACTTTGTCTACTTTCTTCTTTCCATACATGAGAAAAAACATCTAGCTAAATGAGCTCATGAATGGAATGAAAAACAGGCTAACATCAATAATTTCTTAAAAACAATGTCTACCATGAGGAAATGACTGTGTTCAAGAATGCATCTTCAGGGCCACAGGTTAAGAAACCTACTGGGAAAAATATTCACAGGCTGCAATGTCTCTCCAATGTTAGGTACTTCCTAATGTTCCCTGCATGCAATTTTGGGAAACACAGCAAAATACACTTTTTTTTTTTTTTAAAGGATAAACTGAGATCAAATGTAAATCATCACATGCTGTCATGTATAGCAATGCTCAAGTAAAATAGCGACCTGCAGGTGGTTGTGCTACTGATTTTCAGAATTAAGATGAGCCTTAGCTCATTGCCATGTATGATTGTCAAAAATAAGGTAGCAGAGACACTAAGATGAACCTCAGAAGACAATTCTATTCTGAATAAGAGATGAAAAAACACAGAAAGAAAAAAAAAAAACAAAAAACCAAAAAGAGTTTCCTTCTGCTTAACTGGGATTAGAGTAACACTGCTGGCAAGAATTTTATTTAACATACGTATTTGAAACAGTTCAGACTAAACATCATACAAAAATCATTCTGTCTTTTACAGGTTTGCTGAACAAAAAAGCACAGTAATTTACACCATCCTTTACAGTGGGGGTTTGACTTTACTATGGAAAGAAGACCTTAGAAAGCACAGTCCACAACCCAACTGATTGCAAAAGAAAGATTTCTTTCAACCTCTGTAGTCAGAAAAATCAACCTGCATTTTCACTTCCATTTTACTATAGCTTGTCTTTACTCTCAGTATCTTGAATGTAACCTCCTTGTAAAGAAAATCACTTTCCACTGCATTTGAGATATGTATACGTGCAATCACAGCTGTATGTAGAATTTCTATGCACGTATTTCAGATAACATTACCTTGGCTAATGTTACTGCAAATAAATGTGTAGCCATAGCAGCAGAGAACTTAGTGCAGACTGCAAAGCTTGACTGAAAACTTATTTAATAATGCAGTTTTCTGTGCTGCAGTGGGCATTTTGCTGCCTTGGATTTGCTTGTTTGTGTATTTGAACGTAACTAACTTGGAATAAATGTGCAAGATGTTAATGTATGTTGATTGTTTTTTTAAATAACTGATAGACTCAGATCAACGTTAGCTATTAGCTGCTTCAAAAGATATCATAATGTGCAAAATCCTGATCAGTGGCAATTAAGTGCTTTATTCTGATCTCGAAAGATAAAGCTTCTCCATTTGATATTACTGAATCAAAGGTACAAAAACACTAGAACTACACTAACAGACAACTAGAGCTGAACACTACTCTGACAAGCAATTACAGCAAAAGCATATTTTGCAATAGTTCCACAGTTTATGGTTATTTTCTTTTAAAGCTAACTGCAACCTTACCAGGCAGTTTTTGTATAAATTTAATTCAGCTGTTAGTACAATAAATACAAAACGGTATTAATAGAAACAAAGGAAATAAATATACAAGTCATACCAACAAAAATCTATTGAAAAGATTTGTATTCCTAAGGTAATTCTGATCACAGAAATAAGAGCAGAATTAAATGACAAAAAAAGAAAAACAACAACACATCGTGTTAGGAAAAAAAAAATAAAAAAAGGCAATCTGTTCAATAAAAGAAAAGTGCAGTAGAACCGAAAATAAAAGAACGCAGCCAAGAGGCCACCCTGGGAAGCAGCATGAGAACTAACACTCAGAAATACCAGATGAAGACTACCAGAGTATTCAGGGGAGATCAACAAATGACAAGGAGGAAAAGGACCAATCAATGGCTATCATTTGACTACATTTACTACTTGTTTTTTTTTTTGAGCAATCTATTTAATGAAAGGTGAAAACGTCTACCCTCCTTCTAGCGCTATTTAGTGCCGGCTTGCTCCTCTGCCTTTCACTTTTCTTTTTTTAAAAAAGTCTTGGCTTAGTCTCACCATTAGGAGGTAGTTTTGTGTCTTGAGAGTATTGTACTGAGGATAATAATGGCAGTGATGAAATAAATTACCTTCCTGTTGCCATTTATATTACAGCTATGGAGCGAGTGGACATTCTTTCTGCATTTCTCACTCCTACCATACTCTATGAAATGTGAAGTCACAGTTTTTTACATCTACTGTGTTGGGGTACAATTTTATTTCACTTTTTTTAGAGAAAAATCTTTAATCATAAAGACTAAACAGGTTTTGTTTGTTTTTGTTTTGTTTCTAAACAAGAAAGATTAGTTAGAACTTGATGGCATCTGCCCAGTAGAGATTGTTGCATTCTGAATCATTCAGTAGGTTGATATTTCAACACATGACTTGTAATTCTTTCTGAGTGTATTATGAGTCAAAGAAGTACACTCTAGGTATGAATCTGCAATGCATATTAATAAAGCATGTCCACTATAAGTGAATCTGTTAGTCTCAACAGAAGAATCAAACAAGAAAAGTGCTTTATCGCTTTCCACATATTTTAAAGTAGTAGCTTTTTTTGGCGCACTGATACAAAATTTAGCATTCATTTGAAATTTCAAGTTGGGAAAAACAGCTAATCATTTAAAGGCCAAACCAATCTTTCTGTGTAATGACATATTCCAATTTTTATGATGTAAGCTGAAATTAGAGACTTTTTACTACAGAGTTCATAAAATGAAGTACAGAAAATAAATCATAATGTCTAGTATACGTAGAAACAATAAGTTACTGCATATTTATCCACATTAGACAAAAAGTGAAAGAAAAAAACTACAAAGAGGATGAGACTGAAGAAAACAAACTCGACATTATAAAATGCTCAACTCCTTGGTAACCAAAAATTAAAGCTTTGTAAGTCTTGGTTTGAGTGACAACATTACTAACTTCAGTAAGGTTACTAAAAACAAGCTTTGCTACTGAGGGTCTAGTGTACATTCTAGATAATATGCAACCTACATAATTTCTAATTTCCTAAAACAAAATAAATGATCAGACAGAACATTCTCCAATTACCTACATAGGCTTTCAACAGCTGAAGAAATAAAGCAAAAAAAAAAAAAAGAATAATTTACAAGATAAACTCCAAGCAATAAATGCCCATATATTTTAGCAGAAATTATATCAAGTTCAGTGCTATGTTTGGCTCAAGACAGTTATATACAACCATCTAGATACTGTGACAAGTGCAAACAAATCAACAGCACAGCACTGAATTCTTTAAAAGATCAGGAATGTATTATCTTGCTCCAGGAAAAATGAGACAGGCTCAAGAAAAGCTGCATTCATTCTAAAACATCTTAGAATCATATTGTCTCAAGATGATCTATTGAAAATAAGGCTAAATTGGAAGCAACAAAAAACCCAAGAGTTTACTTTTACTTTTCTAGGATAAGCATCTGATCTTTAGCCAAATTTGAGTACCAGATTATATGCATTGGTTATACAAACCAGTTAAATGCTTTGCAGAATTTAAAGTTCTGTGTTGCTTCTTTATTTTTTAACCTGAGACAAAAGACTTTGTCCTCATGTTTGTCCAGATGCGTTTATAGTTTGAAAACGGAAACTATACTGCCTGTAGTCAGATGATAGGCTGAATATAATGGGCTGAAAATAAGCAACAACCAACGTAACTGTTCCATCAAGTGGTATCTTACAGGGTAGAATTCAGATGTGCTCTGTAGTCATTATTTAAATATCAGTATGTTATGTGCCAGACAAGCACCTGCCAAATTTACTTCATTCTTCCTTGGGCCAATTCCTAGAAGTGAATTAAATTATCTTTCACCTGTCTTTCTGGCTCTAGATTATTTGACTTTCAGTTTAATGACAAATTCTGTACGGACTTTTTGTCCACTGCAGACATTTAAGAAATAAAAACATAAGAAATACCGAGGTATAATTAATATCCCCGGTGTGATTGCATTTGCTTTTTAAATTATGAAGTGTATTTAAATATCAAAAGATAATGCATTCTGCTTACAAAATGAAGACTTTTGTTTTTCTTTAAGGTTAACAAAAATTTTTCTTTAATAAAATAAACTATGTAAATAAACTGAGACCACTAGGTTAGAAGCACTGAACACAGTCAATCTGTATTCTTGAGACTTAGATAAAATGCAGCTAAAATACTGTTCTGCAGATTATCTAGGAAAGCTAAAAAAACATCTTTACCCTCACTGTAACTTCATGCAGAGGAGTATTTCTACTCATTGAGTGGGATTCTTTGGGAGTTTATGGATAAGACCCATGCTCAAATTTTGGAGAAATACTATTCCATGAAATAACTGATTAATTTCCTCTTACTTCACTGATACAACATCATTTTTAAAATATTTTAGTGACTGACAGCTTGAACTATTCCAGATAAAGTACCAAGAAAACCAAGAGAAAGGAATGCAAAAGGTTATATTAATTTAGTGTCACAAATATTTAACATTTTAAATGTTCTGCAATCTCTGCTTTCTAACAAAGTACATAATAGATTAAAAAGTCTTACATTATTGTTCCTAAGGCTTATAAAATTACTGCATTGAAAACTATGATCAAATTTTAAATAATTATAAAAAACTTAAAAAAGACAGAAGAGCTCTACAGCATAATAAGTACTGTGTCATGGTGTAATATTAGTATGAACGTTAACAACAGCGTACCAATTCTGTTTTAGTGTACCACTAGAAAACAGAAAATATCACAGCCATCTTTTGAGAACACAGATCAACTACATAAGCTAAGTTAAAAAGAGCATGCAATTCATGAATATGGTTCATTACCATGGTTACAGGCTTTCAGCACCGGCCTCTGTGTGGTTGGACTGAGATTTTGTGGTGTTTCTGCAAAAGCAAGAAAACAAAGGAAAATAAACACCTCTTTGAAAGTTTCTGGATGGAGTACTGTAATGACATAAGCAAGCAGAAATATTTGAAAGTTAGATATTTCTAGGACAAAATCTACAGTGGAATAAACTGATGCCGTGGCAGGACAAGTGTACTTTTGTCTCTTGTATACAGTGGCTATTACTATAAACCTCTAAAATTTGAAGTATACATAGCTATATGGAAGAACCTTAACAGTCAGGCTGCACTAAGTTCAGTACATTGATCTCTAGAAGACTACAGACAGCAGCAAAATAGCCTGAAGACTCCTGATAGATAGATATCACTGCAAGAAAGAATTAAACCCCAAAGCCTTTAGACCACTGGAGCCATAATGATTTTAGGTTTATTCAGGAAAAAAAAAAAGAAGTGAAATAGAATATTCACCTTTAGGCCTTGGTGTTCTTTTCCTTCGATCTCGAAAAGCTGCACCTGACTGCAAGGCCTCCAACAGACTATCCATCACTCCAGTCTCCTCCCCTTCTGTAAGAGAAAGGAAAGGAACGCTCTGGGTAACCACAGCAATATGAAAGCATAAGTAATATTAACAATAAGAAACAACAATAATTCGTAGTAGTATTAAAATCAGTTATTTAAAACTTATTTGAAGTTATTTGGATTTTAACATTCAGAACATTGCTCTCTCACAACTAAACAGAGCAGATTTGGTCTTCTGTCAATTGCACTAGGCCAAATTTTATTTCATTCATTTCACATTCCTCATTCTCAACTGTAGTTTTAAATGAAATGTCACTTCACTCATATTTTCATTTCAGTACCCTTTTGCAACTGCAAATAATCAGTTTCATGTCAGCTTTCAAAAGCTGTCCCTTAAGTGATTTGCTGTATTAGACAAAAGAGATCATTTCAGTTATTGTTATAAAAAGTTGAAATTGTTTCTCGGTGGGAAACTGAAGGAAAAATATTGGACTAAATAGGATATAAAATGACTTCCATAGGTAGCTTTAATCAAAAGCCATTTTCCTTTTATACTTAATGATCTGTGTTCAATATTGATATAGTCCAGGAATATACTTCTCATCATATTGCACGTGTGGGGATAATATCCCCCTGAAAGAATTAAGAATGTTACCACGATGTTATAATTAAACACAAGCATCAAAAATATTACTTATATTTCCTCAAATAAACATATCAGAAATCTTAGATATTTTAATCTAATTCATCCTTTGTCTCTACAGCTGTCAGGACAAAAAACCCCACAACACCATGGATTTCCTATACAATGAAAAATCTCCACAGAGCAATAAAGAACTAACTACATGACAGAAATCTCATTATGTCTCACAAGGCTAAACTCCCAAGGTCAACATACACCTTGGATCCGGTCAGACACATCACATGATTTTGCAGATATTAGTGAACGCATTTCTACTCTCAAAATTTGAGCTTTGAAAAATGTCATTAAATATTAAAAAAAAAAAAGGTTTGGGCTTTTTTTTTTTTAATCTATAGAAATACACATATAAACATATTTAAAGCTCACAACAGATGTTCTGTAACATTGATTCAAAATTAAATTACATTTTTTATAAACATGTTTTGTTTGTGATTTTGCCCACTCTTTAATTTTTGCTAATTCTGTACGTATACTTGTGTTTAGGGAATTATTTTGATTTCATTTTTGGAATTTATTAAATGTATTCCACTAAGAAGAACAATCTTCTTTGTAGTACTTCATCTGCTATTACTCCAAGATGCTGTCTTGAAAATGATGAAACTATAATCTGAGAACACCCTTATTTCTTCTCTTTTCTCTATAGACGCGACTACTGGACTTAAAGAGCTATATATAAGGAGAAATAATGGAAAACTAGCAAATGTTTTATAACTTCAAATAACATTGATCCCCATTTATTTTCTATGCAATACATGGGAGACATGGAATATTAAGTACAGACAGGTTTTCTCTTGCTCTATATTTAGTATAATATACTTAACCACAATGAAGTTTCCTCTCTCACGACCAGCGGACCAGTACAGCAACCAACTTAACAAATATTGCTCAGACTGCATATTCACCTTCTCGGTGGTTTTTATTATTGTTCTGCTAACTTATTTTTCTATCTGATTTCATAAAATTCTTTAATATTCACATGTCAAATGAAAACTCAGTGAGAGTTTCAGTTTAAAGTGATGCTTGAGGAATGAGCCATTAGTTATATTAAGGTACACAAACATTTTGGAGGAAAGTTTATAAGCATTGTGGGTAGTAATAATTCAAAAAAGACTCAATAATATTACAGTCTCCAAAATAAAACCATAACTGCTTATGAAATAAGAGTTCAGAAACTTTGTTTTAGGTGGTAGTAATAACAAAAAAAAAAAAAATTGCTTTCAATTCTATTTCAGCATGTCATCTTTTTTCATTTTAAGCCTTTCTAAGACTATTATGGATTGCATAGTTATTTCAAAAACATAACAGATTTCAGTAGAAAAAAAAAAACAGTGCATAATATGTTATACAATAAGAAGACCAATTGAATAAAAATATTACATATTTTAAATAATAGAATGGAAATACTGCAAAACCAACTTTCTGTCACATACCTGGAACATATTTAAGGGCACTATCTATTTTTCTTTCTTATCTGAAATACACTGTAGCCAGAAATCGCCTAATGTTTTCATTGACATGCACAAGTGTTAATAGAAGAATAAATGACATACATAAAAACTGAATTAAAAAAGAAACACCTCTAGCAATATTATAGTATATGTGGATTTACTGAAGAAAAATTAACGACTGCAAATAAAAACATTTGCAGTTTGCTGTTCTGTACTAAAACATGCAGAAAGCTTGTTTTTCAAACTTCTACATCTTCAGTGAGGCTCCAAATGCTGTTTTTTGAGGCCTAAATCAGCAGTTGATTACACCACATTCTATGAGGTCATATAGCTAGCTATTAATACCCATACTGTTATCATCACTCTAGCCTGTTAGTAACAGGCAATAAATTACATTAATCTCCCTATTCTAAATCTGTTTTTGCCTGTGACGGTAATTGGTGCATGATCTTCCTGTCATTATTTATGACCCTTTTTTCATCATCTTTTCTCCTCCTCTTCTTTTTGAGGAGCAGAGGTGAGAGAGCAGCGTGGTGGAAGATGCCCGTCAGTGTAAAACCACATCATCTTCATATTTCACAAATGCAACAGAAGGAAAAGGGTGCAAGAACTCAGGGGATACTTATCAAGTTATCTGAAATACCGAAGACTTGATATAGTCTTTGAAATAAATCCATGTATCATGGCATCATTCTAGCTTTTATGTAATTCAAAAATAAACTTGTAGCACTGAAGCTACTGGGTTTGTTCTTCTTGTCTGAATGATCAAGTCCTGGTCTCACAATTCAGTAGTTAGCAAAATAAATAAGTAAATAAATAAATAATTTTTTTCTCACTAAAATATAAACTGTTTTGTTTTGGTTTTTCGTCTTCAGCTGAGGATATAATTCAGGTCAAATACACTGTGCCCAGTTCTTGACGAAATGGAATTTAATTCCTTCTAGGTTTAGTTATGCCAAGTCTTTCACTGTAACATAACAAATCTTCTGAGGCAAGTGAATACCAGTCTTCGGACAGCCGCAGAGATTTCCCAGATTATTTATACAAGGCTAAGCATGAGAGAAAAAGATACAACTTAAGATACTCTTAAGCACTGATTAGGAAGAGATTTAAGAAAAAAAATCTGCAAGCAGAAAACATTTTTTTTTCTCTTTCAAGTGCTCCACTGTAAGTTTGCTTGAATAATGATTGACTGTAAGAACAAATCCCATAAAGCAATGCCCAACTGATTAAAGGTCCCAATTTGAGTAAAAAACAAAGGGCCAAATATCGTAAGAGTAAAGTTTTAGCAATGATGTAGTGTTTGATAACTTAATTTCTGGAGTGTAGAACAGGGACAGGGAGGTAATTGAAGCCATCAATGCAGGAGCGAGCCCCAGTGTTTGGAACTGGTTCAATTTTCTCAGTTTTGAAAAGATTCTCAGACAGGAAGATTCTGAGAAGCATTCATACTACTGACACGTAACTTTTCAAACACTTTCAGATGTACACATGAACAGGTCAGGAGCTCTTATTAAGGCTCATACAGTCAACACAAGAATACAAGAAACTTCCTTTTCCAGAGAAAAAAATGTTTCAAAATGTGCATTATTGTGACCCCCTAAACTGTGACTCTTTACTCCACTCAGATACACTCTTACACAGAAATTGTTGGTGGACATGAAGGTTAGCTTTGTCCAGAAAATGGTGGAATTTCAGTAACACTGCATGAATTAGAGCAATAACTCCTAACGCAGCTAAGTGCTCCTTTGACTCTAATTAACTGTAAGAATGTTCTTACAATACACGCAGAAAACTTCTGATATACAAGTGCAAAGTTGAAATAGCTGTCAAGTATGCCTTGGACAGACTGGCTGAAAGGACATTTCCCTTTCCCTTAATAATTAAAAAGTGTTAAACTCAGTTTCTGCCAGGAATGTTGCTATTCAATTGCCTTTCCTCAGAGGCAACTCCAACCCAGCCTTGAACACCTCCAAGACCAGGGCATTCACAACCTCTCACTACTCTCATAAGAAAGAACTTCCCCCTGTGTATGGGAATTGCTGAATCATGGCCTGAACCTCTGATTGATCACCTGAGGCAAGCAATGAGTCAGGCATGGGAGCACAGGTGAAGGCAATTCACCTGTGCTGCTTGAAGGGGTGGAGCCTGGCTCCACCTAGACCCACTTACAAGCTGACTACCAGTAGGAAAGGATCTCTTTTAGAGATCCCTCCTCTGGAGTTTTGTAGCAAGCCCAGGATGTGGGTAAACTTTCTATCTATTCTGTTTTTATTATTATAATCTACTAAACTGTCTTGTTTATTTCATAACTATAACATCTTTATATTCATTGACTATATACCTTGACATCCAACCTAACTCTTCCCTCCTTCAACTTAAAACCATTTTCCCTTGTTCTGCTGTTATTTGCCCTTTCAAAGAGTTGACTCCCCTCCTGTTTTTACAAGCTTCCTTTAGGTACTAAAAGGCTATAATTAGGTCATTCTACAGCCTTCTCTCCTCCAGGCTGTAGCACCTAATTCCATAAATCTTCTAGCTGACAAGAGTTGGTTTCTTTCTGTCTTGTTTGCTCTTGCTAAAATTGTCCCATCATGTAGTTGTCATACAGTGATTTTGCGGGGCACAAGTAGTTTGTGACTCTGAGCATGTGAATGAAAGCTGTGTTCAAGTTCCAAAAAGTTAAAATAAAGTGAAATGCAAACTTCTATTATTCACAAATCCTTAAAGTTCATTTGTTGTAATCAAGGTTGGTAACAATTTAACTTCTGTAAGTTAATTCATATCATGGAAAACCAGAAGGTAAAATGTGATCATAGAAGTGGTTCTGTACAAGTGATTAAAAAGAAAACCTTGGTGATGTGTCTCACCTGTTTCTGCATCTCTATTGGATC